TTATATTTATTAAACACATTAACTTTTCTACCAAAACTTTAAAATGAAGAAAGTACAAAAATATATAAGTTATTTAAAGTCGTTGCCAAACCAGTTAAAATTGTTGATTTTTATTTTATTTTTATTTTAGATTAATTTCATCTTTTATTTTTAAAATATGAGTCTGGTGTCACTTGTAGTCCTCAATATTTTAATTATGTCAATTTAATCCTTAATGTATAAAAATATTTCAATTTAGTCCACAATGTCTAAATTATGTCAATTTTTTTTAATTTGTAGAAGTGTTTCAATTTAGTCCTCATAAAAGTGTATAAATTGAAACACTTTCTGTGCATTTGGGACAAAATTGACATAATATAAATATTGGACCCCAAAAAGTGTCTAAATTGAAACACTTTTTACATATTGAGGATAAAATTGACATAATTTAAATATTAAAAACTGAATTAAAACATCTTTTGTACATTAAGACCAAACTAATACAAATAAAATATTAGAGGTCAAAATGGTACGCGATTATTTGGTTGATTGTCTTGACTTTTGAAAGATCACCAACTTAAACTTTATAAAAAAAATTAAAAAAAATAAAAATACATGTAGGACATATGTGTGAATGTAATTAACTTTTTAAAAATAATAAATAAAACTGAATGTTTTCAATTGTCACATGACATTGATATCAAATGGATTTTAAGGGTACCCACCGTGATTATTTGGTTGGTTGTCTTGACTTTTTGAAGATCACCACTTAAGAACTCCTTTAATTGTGGGTCCTTAATTATATTACACCAATGTGGTTACGGAGTTCGAACGTTGGCAGTCGAAACATCAAACAAGTTTGACAACTTTATATATAAAAACATTTCTAAAAGGTTACATATATTTTAAATCAAAGTAAGCAAAATTTACAAATGGTTTAAAAAGCAATTAATAAAGTTACGGCACTAGTGGAAGAGAACAAACAATCACTCTAGTGCAAGAGAACAAACAATCATACTTCATTTTATTAGAAATAAAATCAACTCCACTATTTGTTGAACAATATGAATTTTGATAAATATTTATTATTGATTATTCGATCGCAATTTTAACTTTTTTTAGTAAGGATATTTTGATATTTTTATATTTGTGCCATGTTACTTAAATTTCTATCATATATAGATGAGGGTGAGATAGTTATTCTTATAACTTGTAATTCTATAATCATAATAAAAATCGTAGTGATTGTGTACATAATCCTAATTTAGGGTGAATCACGTAAATCTCTCTATCTTCACATGTGTCTCATTTATCATTTATTATTGTTATTATTTTTATTTATGTTTCATGTCTCCCCAATCATAATTAGATGTATTAATTCCTAATACTATTTTCTCTTGCTTTAATCATGACAATTGGATGAAACTTTAGATAGTGCATAAAACCCTAGAGGTGGGTTAATTTCATAACCCAGAGGTGGTGCATATGTTCATTTCTTCCTGTTATATTTTATCAGAAATAATCCTCAAAATTAATACACCCTAAAAATCTTATTTCAGTTCATTATTTGTGTAAAAGGGTTGGTTTGGATGTCCTAAAAAAGTACACTTTTTGACTTATTGGTGGGTTTGGATTGGGTTTGGGTTGGGTTTGATATGATGTGTTAGAGAGGTGATGTGATTTAAATAAGATGATGTGACTTAAATAAGATAGTGATTTTTTAACTTTTTGACTTATTTAGTACATGCCAAACTAGCCTTTAAGACGACTTGTCCAACTTAAACAAAAAGGAAAAGACATATATACTTATAAGAAGTTGAATATCTTGATGTTGAAGATCCCACCATATAGGATCGTTTGTCTCTAGCTTGCCGACAAAATATATTGTGTAGAAGAGAGATAAAAAGCTATCATTTTCCCTGATTCTCTAAAGAGTAGTACTATATAAATTGAAAAAATATGAAGAGAGATAAAAAGCTATCATTTTCCCTGATTCTCTAAAGAGTAGTACTATATAAATTGAAAAAATATAAAAAATAAATAAATAAATAAATAAAATAAATAAACAATGTTGTGACAAGTTCTATTCCATCACTTTAAAGTAAAAATTTATTGTGATTACTAATATTTTTCAAAATGTCATTGTAGAGAGGTGATTTTTGAATACTCCTTTAATCCAAACAAATCCATAAAAGATCTTCCTATCATTACCTAAAACAGAAGAAAAACTCCAATCAGTGGTGCTGAAATTAGCACTCTTACGAGAGAAATAATTTCTTTCGAAAGAAGTATATTTTCTTTCTTAGAGTACAAGTTTTTCGAACATACATCTCTCTTCAACCTCTCATTTATTTTATAGAGTCATTCTCCCTGATATCTCCTCATGTAGCTATAACAACCCTGACCCATGGTTAATGTTAATCCATGTTTAAGTGTGCCTAAAAAGTATTAAGAAAAAATACTGAGTTAATTACTTATGCATTGCATTATTTGTGTTTATATCTGTTAAACGTAGATGAGAAGCTCTCTCCCACTGTTGGGTATGGTCTCTAGGTTTATCCCTGCTTCTCTTCTCCCTTTTCCTGTCTCATCTCTTTGTCTTTATTCCTGAACCTTTCTTCTGGTTACCCTTTCTCACCACTATTCTCACCTTTTGCTCTCCTCTCCTCTCCCTTCACCCGTCCACTCATCCGTTTCCCTAATTTTCGTACCCTTGTTTCTGGGTCTGATATTTGCTCACCTTTGCCCCTCCCTCTTCTCTACCCAGCTTTACTTTCATTTTCACATTCATCCCCCCTTCCATTTCCTTTGCTTGAGCATATGACGACGCATACGCAAGGTTCGAATGACCCCTTCACCATTGATCTGGAAGAAGGTATAGATAAGAGTGTTGATAACTCGCGCCTTTGTCTAATCGTCAAGATTTTAGCTCCTAAATCCCTTAACAAACAAGCGGTCTCCCGTATCATTCTTGGAGCTTGGAAACTTAAGGCTGAGGTTTCTATATCTCCTTGGGCAGACAACATTTATTGTTTCAGCTTTCAGAATGCAGATGACAGAGCTATGGTTCTTCGAACGGCCCCGTGGTCCATAATGGGTAATCTCCTTGTTCTCCAACCACTCTCTATTGAGAAAGCTATACCCGAGATAGAATTTAATTACTGTCCATTCTGGGTTCAAGTTCATGGTCTCTCCTTGGACAAAATGACTAGACGTAATGGGCAGATTATTGGTGGATCGATTGGGAAGCTCATTAGAGTGGAAGCTCCGAATGACGGCCTTCTGCTCTCACGCAGTTTTCTCCGAATTCGGGTGGATATTAATGTCACTCTTCCACTCCCTAAGGGGTTTATGTTGCAGCGACAGAGCAAGGGTTCATCCGAGATGACAGAGGCCTGGATTTCTTTCAAGTATGAACGCCTCTCTGAATTTTGTTACGATTGTGGTAGAATTGGCCATGACAGAAATTCCTGTAAATTTGTGTCTAGTGAGGTGGGACGTCTTTCTAGCTATGGGCCTGAACTCAGAACTGGGGTAGCTCGCAATTTAGGTCTTCCAGTGGAATTTTACAGGCAACAGATCAATGAGTTGGAGGAACGCCTTAGCCCTTTACTCCGGCGTACTTCTAACCTTCCTAGTGAATGCGGGGATGCTCCGAGGACGGACCCTCTGACCAGCCACACCACTACTCTGGCCCATGATGCACCACCACCTTCATTGCCCGTAATGCTGGCAGAATCGGCAGTACAAGACAGAACGCCTCTTTGTCCCCCACGTGGCAATAGGGGGGATACACTTGCGGTAACAGTGCCTACTCCACTACCTGTGCACCCTCAGCTTTTGCCACCACCTGAGGTAATGCTCTTACCACCTTCCTCTTTGGCTCTTTTTCGACCTGGGCCAAACCTAAATGAAAATTCTGTTCCTGTGGGCCAAAACTATGCTGAGCTAGCCTACTTTGTTACTAAGCCTTCGGAGGAAAGCCCCAACTCTCCTAATAGCCCACCCTCCCTCCTGTCTAAAGGCCCAAACCTTTCTATTGACAGTAGCCCCATTCCTAACCTAACTTCCTCACCAAAAGGCCTCACCCTTTGTAAGGAAGCCCCAACTAATTTCTTATCCAAGGCCTTTCATGGGCTATCTTTAAAAAGAAAGGCCTCTACAGAGGAGTTCAATAGCCCAAGCCCCACAAAATCCTTTAAACCATCCTTTGAACTAGTACCTGCTCTGAACCTCCCTCTCACAACACTTTCCTCCCTAGCTCTTTTCCCTCCCTCCATTGGGGGCAAATCCCGCCCTCGAAAGAGTAAGGTGCATAGATCCCTGAAAGCGAAAGGAAACCTTGCTAGTGTGCTTGCTGAGCCACACTTATTCAATGTGGAAATTTGGGATGAACTCACTGTTTGGGCTGATTCAGAGGACCTCATTTCCCAGGTCCCTAGCACTTTTGCTGTGGAATCCGAAACTTGCAACTCAAAGGCATTGGTGGCTGGCCTTCAACAGCCACACGGGCCATGCTAATCATCAGCTGGAACTGTCAGGGGATAAGACGACCTCTGACAGTCCAGATCCTCAGAGGGTCATGCATAACCCATCGTCCTGGTGTGCTGTTTCTCATGGAAACCAAGAATAAAAGGGAGGTTTTGGAACGGATCCGAAGACGACTTCAATTCCCTAACTATTGTTATGTAGATCCTGCGGGTATGGTGGGGGGACTAGCTTTGTGGTGGTCTGATGAGGTCAGTTTGGACGTTAGATACAAGAATGCAAATATTCTGAGGTGTGTGCTCTCTGATTCTGGGGCCCAGTGGCTTGCTACTTTTATTTATGCCCCTGCTAGAGCTAGTCAACGAGATGTCTTCTAGAACCAACTCCGGCTTATTGCAAGGGACAACCGTTTGCCGTGGTTGTGTATAGGGGACTTCAATGAGATCAGGTCTATAACCGAAAAGGAAGGAGGGACTATGCCGAATCCTCGAAAAATTTTAAAATTTCAATCTGTTTTGAATGATTGTTCTTTCATGGATCTTGAGTTCAAAGGCAACTTGTTTACTTGGTCCAACAATCATCAGGGGCCAAGTATAGTTTGGGAGAGCATAGATCGAGCAGTCTCCACAGTGGCTTGGAGGGTGTTGTTTCCCTATGCCCAAGTGTTTCATGAAATTATTTTCGGCTCTGATCATTGTCCACTCTTGCTCAATACTTGTATTCCCCCTGATAAAGTCCCTCGCCTCTTCAAGTTTGAGTCCATGTGGACTACCTTTCCAAATTGCCGAACTGTTATTCAAGAGCATTGGATGATGTCCCAATCGGGTTCTCCCATGTTTCGATTTTGTCAGAAACTCAAAACATGTCGCAGGGGTCTTAAAGCTTGGAGTTTGGGTGAATTTGGAAATAACTGGGTAAAAATTCTAGCTTTGAAAGAGCATTTGGCGAGGCTTGAAGCTTCTCCTTCCTCTGCGGACACTTCAAATGCCCAAGGTCGTATTCAAGCTGAACTTTCTGAAACTATGTTATGGGAAGAGATGTTTTTACACTAGAGGTCCCGGGTCAGGTGGTTACAATATGGCGATCGTAACTCTTCTTTTTTTCATGCCTCTCTTACTTAAAGACGGCAATGACATCAGTTAAGTGCTATTCAAAATGAAGCAGGGCAGTGGTTGACCACGGATGACGGCATTAACTCCTATATTTTGGAGTATTTCTCTAGCCTGTTTAAGAGTGAGCCTCTAAGGACTATGGATGCTATATTGCAAGGGGTTCGGCATTCGGTTACACCCGAAATAAATCACTCTCACAAGACCTGCATCTGACTCAGAGATAAAAAAGGTAGCTTTCTAGTTGGGCCCTTTGAAAGCCCCTGGCCCTGATGGTTTTTCTGGGATTTTTTACCACCAGTATTGGGATATGATTGGGGCGGAAGTGACCAAGGCAATTCAGAGCTTCTTTGAGAATGGGCATCTTCTTCGAGAATGGAACCAAACTAACTTGGTTCTTATCCCCAAGGTCTTAAATCCAGTCAAGCTCTCTCAATATCATCCCATCAGTCTGTGCAATTTCAATCTAAAAAATAATTTCTAAGAGTTTGGCTAATAGGCTTAAACCCATTCTCCAATAGGTGGTTTCTCCCCATCAGTCAGCTTTTGTTCCCGGACGTATGATCCAAGACAATATTCTTATAGCTCATGAAGTTTTCCACCATTTGAAACTTAAGCGGAGAGGGGTCGACTGTGCAATAGCGGTGAAGCTGGATTTTAATAAGGCTTATAACCGAGTTCAATGGGATTTCTTATCTGCCCTCTTGGAGAGGATGGGGTTTGCTGGTCTTTGGATTCAATGGATTATGGCAGTTGTTACAACGGTGTCTTTCTCAGTCTTTGCTAATGGAAGGAAACGTGCTTCCTTTATCCCTACTCGGGGCTTGAGGGATGGTGATCCCCTTTCTCCGTATCTCTTTGTTCTGGTCACTGATGTCCTCTCTGCTTCTCTGACCAAGAGCCATCACGAAAGACGGATCAAGGGCCTTAAGATCAAGCATAATAGACCTCCATTGACACACCTTTTTTTCACTGATGATGCATTACTTTTTGCCAAGGTTGAAGCGGAGGAATGCCTAGCTTTAAAACAGACCCTGGAGTCTTATTGCTTAGCTTCGGGACAACTCATTAACTTGGACAAGTCTGGGATTGCTTTTTCTTCTAACACTCCGGCTCAGACCCGTCTAGATACTTGCAGCAGTTTGGGCATCTCCTCTACCCCCACAAACTTCTAAATACCTTGGGCTTCCTTCTAGTTGGGGTAAATCAAAGTCTGAAGCTTATAATTGTCTCATAGATAAAGCTATTCAGAAAATGCAAGGGTGGAAGTAGAGATTACTATCACAAGCCGGTAGAGAAACCCTTGTGAAAGCGGTGGTCCAAGCAATTCCTTCCTATGCAATGTCCTGTTTCATGCTTCCAAAAAAATTCAGCGATCATCTTAACTTCTACACCCGTAACTTTCGGTGGGGCGGCGACCCGGAGTATAGAGGCATCCACTGGGCGAGTTGGGCCAAACTCTCTCTCACCAAGTCTCATGGGGGTATGGGCTTTCGGGACTTTAGAGCTTTCAACCTTGCCCTTCTCGCTAAACAAGCTTGGCGGTTGTTTAAATTTCCCAACTCCCTTTGTGCCCAACTTCTAAAGGGAATTTATTTTCCATCTTCGGATTTTCTTTCAGCTGGAAGGGGCAGAAGGGCATCTTGGGCATGGTCGAGCATTCTCCAAGGGAGGGATCTCCTTCGTAAAGGCCTTCGGTGGCAAGTTGGTAATGATCAGTCCATTAATTTTTGGGAGGACCGTTGGATTCCTTCTTCTTCAAATTTTAAACCGGTCAGTTTGAAACCAGATGGCTGCCAAGTTCAGTGGGTTGGGGATGTAATCAATTCGACCCATGCTGTGTGGGACAGAGACAAACTTCTGGGGATTATCAATCACAAGGATGTTAGTAATATCTCAGTCATACCTGTCTCATCTGAGGGTCAAGCGGATACTTTGATCTAGCACTATACCAATAAAGGAATTTATGAAGTCAAGAGTGGTTATCAGGTGGCCCGACAAGAGATGTTGGAAGCGCACTCCTCTGTAGCTTTTTCCTCTGTCCAGCCCCCTAAAGGTTTCTGGAAGTTCATTTGGTCCTTAAAGGTCCCCCCGAAAATTCGAAATTTCTGGTGGCGAGTATGCTGTAACAGGCTAGCAACAAATGAAAATCTATTTCGGCGGAAGTGTGCTCCTTCTCCTAACTGTCCGGTATGTCAAGAAAGTGTTGAATCCATCGAGCATATTCTCTTCCATTGTGACTGGGTGAGAGCCGTGTGGTTTGGATGTAATTTGGGGCTTCGAATTAGGTTTGATCGGATTGCTTCAGCTCTCCAGTGGACGGTATCTCTGATGCAATCTTGCTCTCAGGTGCTATACAGAAGAGAGATGGTGAGTAGGGTGACCATCGTTGGTTGGTGTATATGGAAAAGTAGGAACAGTTGGGTTTTTCAACAATGCTCTGTGGATCCTCATTGAGTTTCTCAACAAGCCGTGCTTATTGGTGGGAATTTGAACAAGCCCATCACCACCCCAGGCCTCCATCACAGCAGAATTCTATTCCAGATCGCTCTCTCCCTCGTTGGATAGCTCCCCCCTGGTTATATGAAAGTTTCCTATGATGCCAGCTTCTCTTCTTCGGATAGTAGAGCAGCGTTGGCTGTCATTCTGCGAGATAGCCACGGGAAACTAATTGATGGTGTGACCTCTATAGCCTACTCTTCTTCAGCTAAACAAGGAGAAGCTCATGCTATTCGTCTTGCTTGCATGTTTCTTTGAGCTCTGGGTCTTTGAATCTTCAAGTGGAGAGTGACAGCCAAGAAGTGATCACCCTTTGTGTTTCTGAGATGGTTCCTCCATGGGACATTGCTGCACTCTTGCATGATATTCAGGTTGTGTCTTCTTCTTCCCAAGTTTCCTTTGCTTGGATTCCTAGGGAGTCAAACGAAGTAGCTCACTAGGTAGCACGAGCTCATCTTCTTAGAGCTCTGCCTTCTAAATGGGTTTCTACCCCTCTTGCTGCTCTCTCAGCTTTGCTTTTGGCGGATGTTTCTTTGTAGCCTTTGGGCTTTTGTTTGTAGCCTTCAGGCATTTCTATGATAAAAAAAAAAAAAAAAACGTAGAAAGATCTGTTCATGTTTCTGTTTTGGTTTGTGAATTAAAGGCCTTATCGGCATCCAATTTAGAAATTAACTTGATATATGTGTTATTCGGAATTTATAGAAATTTGTAGTAGGTTTAATTGAAATTCGATTCGGAACGATTTAAATAGATTAATTTGATGCCCATGTGATTAGCCTTAATTAGCTATCATTAGGCAAGCCTATATAAGGCACCTTTTTGCCTCCACTCATTCCTTTTTCCTTCATTCAACACACTCTTGATCCTATGCACACACAAAAATGTGAGAGAGGGAGGAGAGGAAACTTGAGCTCAATTCAAGGAGGAAAAGAGAGATTTGCTAAAAATGATCAAGAATTGGGAGGGATTTGTGATAGTTTGTTGAGCCTAGCTTGAATCTAAGGGAATTGTGGACTCTACGTAAAAAATCAAACTCTTAGTTGTGTAACTGAGTTAGATTTTACAAGGATTCAAGTGAATTAGATGAATTCATGTAAGGATTGAGCTAGAATTGAAGAAAATTAAGTCATTCCATACATGCATGCATATTTATTACATTTTGAAGTTGTTTTCAAAGATTTTTTCCATGCATGTTGTAATTCTAGCATAAGTTGAAAAATTCATAACATTTCTCATCAATGGATCACATTTGATCATGTTTTAGAAGCCATAAACTCAAATGAATACATGAATGTCATGTTCATACCATGTTTTTACATTTCAAGTTGAATTGTTACATGTTTAACACACTTTGGGCCTTAATTTCATGAAATGATCTTCAAACCATAATATTTTACAAGTTCCTAGATGTTCTCTAGAATTTTGGCCCAAGAAGATGAGTTTTGGGGTGTAGAATTTGAGCTTGGAGTTAAGGAGTGCAATCTAGAAATTCCAGATTTTGCACTTTCGCTCAAACGCCGGATTCTAGCTCGAGCGACGACCTCATAATCTTGCACTTCCGCTCAAGCAACCAAAAGTCAGCTTGAGCGTGAAATGCATGCTCCCAGAAGTTCATGGGTTTTTATAGATCGCTCGAGCGATGAAAGTCACGCTCGAGCGAAGGTCTAAGTCTTACGCTCGAGCGGGGATCGAGCGTCCGTCGAGCGTGAAAGTCAAGCAACCAGTACTTTTTCAAAGTTTGTTGACCGCTCAAGCGAACCCTCACATTTTGCATGTACACTTGAGCGAGGAAAGCCACACTTGAATGTCGACCCTGTTTCCAGCAAGTTTTGAAAAATATTTTCAAGTATAATTTTTGCATCCTTATTCCATCACAGGCATTCTTAGACCAAGATCAAGACACTATGATGAGGATAAAGGCTAGAAACATACTAAGAACAAATGAAATAAGTTATGTACAATTCGAGCGTGTATTCTAATGTATGTGTCTATCATGTTATGTAGGTCATGTACCTCAAGTGAAGTGAATTGCCTACTCTACTCATCTATTTGGAGCCACCGGTTATCTGTGAGTAATAACTCTGTAAAGTTATGTTTAACTTTAATTATTTTCTGATGATATGAAATAATCAATTTTCTGAAATGCTATGTTTTGAATGAATGAATGGTTGTGTAAGTTTCGGAAGTGTATTCGTGGCATCCTTAGCATCATATGATATGCATCCCTTTTATGGGTCATCGGAATGCCTTTATGGCCATCCCTTCATGGGTCATCGGAAACGTCTCTATGCACATGAGTCATCGGAATGCCTTCAAGGCCGTCCCTTCATGGGTCATCAGATTTGTTAGTGTTAATGGATGTACCACGTGTGACCATATGCAAAATCTAAATATGAACATGTATATGAATTTGTTTCTGATTTGGAATCTGATTATGCATAAGACTCTGTTTCTGATAAGAATCTGTCTCTGACATGAACTCTGATTTCTGACTCTGTGATGGACATCATTCATTAAAACTTTTTACTTGGTTATTATTTATTAGGCTCCTGCTCACTATTTATATTATGTATGCAGGTGATCAGGCACGTGACCAGGCTCAAAGTTGATGGCCTGGAATTCTGTTTTATCAGCCACCCTTTGCGCCTCCCGAGGAGGTTCCGAATCATGTCAAGTCCCGTAGCCATATTTGTTTTGTATTTTAGAATCTAGTCATTTTGTTTTAACTATGGACAAGTCCTACTTGTATGTATAGTGTATGAAGTAACGTGTAATTACTATACCTTTGACGTCACTCATCAGTCTCTAAAAATTTAAAATTATCTGTCCCATGTATGTCTTCACAGCTCAATGGACTTTGTATGTTTATATATTTGCTTCCGCAGCCCCTATTTACATGAAATTCTATTAAGGGGCCTTTGGTAATCCAAGGATTATTAGCCGGTTACGACGCTAAACTTATAGGGGCAGGTTTGGGCCGTGATAGAGTGGTATCAGAGCATGTGTTCTACCATACACACGAGTCCATATGAGCTTAGGGTGTCCTAGTAAAAAGTAGGGCATTCCATCTGCATGTGCAAGTGTGTGTTCATTGAAAGTGAAAATTAAATCTAATTCTAACCACAAGATATGGAAAAAAATGATCTAAATGATGTGAAAGGACTATTTGCCTATATTCATAATGTTTCGTTTACCTATAGCAAATGGAAAATACAAGAAGTGATGGAACAGTTGAAGCATCCGAAGCCCGAATGAACAGAATGGAACAAATGCTTACAGCTCTGACTGAGATGATAACGCAATAACAGAGACAACAACCTTTGCCTCCATCACCTCCACCAGTACAAGTTGAGCCGAACAATGATGACATTATTACCTTGACTTAAAAAATTTTGAAGATAAAGTCACCAACTTTCCTAGGTGACATTGAGCTATTGAAGGTAGAAACATAGCTGCTTGAGATGGAAAAATTATTCGAAGTCTTCTTCTGCTTAGAGACTCAAGAGGTTCTTTTGGCCACCTATACCTTAAGGGATGAAGCCCGTAGATGGTGGTTGCTAGTTCGGAGCGGTATTAAGAATATGACATGGGCTCAATTCAATACAATCTTATATGACAAGTATTTCCCTCAGTACTTTCGGGATCGAAAATGTCTGAATTCCAAGAACTCAAGAATGTCTATGGCTGAGTACGAGGCTAAGTTCATTGAGTTAGCCAGATTCGCACCTCATATGGTGGACACGGACTACAAGAAAGCCCACAAATTTGAGGGTGGACTGGATTTGGATATATTAGATCAAGTAGGAGTCATCAACCTACCTACCTATGTAAACGTGTTGGATAGGGCATTGATGGCGGAAGCCATTTTGGCAGCAAAGAATCAAACTCTTGTCCCAACAAGTGAGTGGAGGGGCAAAAGATCGGGGTCTAATTTCAAAAAAAGTCGGTCATTCTCAAAGAAGCAGAACACATGATCTTATAGTAGCTCAAGTCAAAGTAGTGGATTTGTACCGACTTACTCAGAATGTGGTAGGAAACACAAGGGAGTCTGTTATCGAGCATCGGGTGCCTGTTTCAGATGTGGTAAAATCGGCCATATGATGAGAGATTGTCCTATTAGGCTCGAAAATACTAATCTCCCCGCAGCAAATTTAGCCGGATCCGCCTTGGCCTAAAAAATGAATACAAAAGCTAACACTAGAAAGGAAACCTAAAGGCAGGGTCAAGTATTTGCTCTTGTGCCTGGTAATGTACAGAACACCAAATCTGTGGTGTTAGGTATAATTTATATCTGTGCTTAGAATGCTTATGTGCTGATTGATTTTGGTTCTACACATTCATTCATATCGCATGCTTTTTCTCAAAAATTGACTGGACCGTTAGAACCTATAAACTGTTTGTTATCTGTGTCTACACCGACTTGGGGTTCTATGATATGTGCTTTT